TGCCTTCTTGGAACGTATATGACTTATATGTATTAATTTTAATTATGTATTTCTGTTACCAATCAGAGAACGCTTTCATCTCCTACGTCATTGTTTTTGACAAGCAGGTCACGCTATACGTCTCGCTTCTCTCAGTGCATTGTCAACTAACTCAAGAATCTGTCCTTAATTTTCTACCATCAAATTGTTTATTATTCACGAATTCAATTTTTTAAGCACTCCTGACTAATCAAATTGCCGGAGGAACGCAAAGCACGAAAAGCGCGCGAGAGTCCCTCGCGCACTTCTACATCTACTTCGAATTCTACATCTTATAAGGTTTCCCATTACATGTACATAGATGTGGATGTGGTCAGAGCTGACAGCATTATCATAGGGGTTTCTTGCTTATAAATAAATGATATATATTTATAATATTTAAAATAAACATAAGTGAAAATAAACACCATCGCTCTTGTGGTAACAACTTAAATAATTAAATTTCAGATTCAATCGCAGAATCACTATTTCCAATCCCTAATTGTTCTAGCAAAAACAAAATCTAACCTTTCAAGTATTTCCTGTATTGTTACGACTGACAAAAGATAATACTTTTGACGGAAGTCAAAAAGATTATACTCTTTCGACCGAAGTAAGGAGGGGGTTGCTGAAACGAGACCCGGCAAAATGCCTGAAACTAGCCAATCAGAAAAGGCTGTTTTAGCTACTTATTTCCGCTCACAGAAGACAAATTCAATAGTCTACTTCAAGATAAGAAGCCGAGAAGTCCCTTGCATTGAAAATTGGTGTTTTCGTAGAAAACAAAGTGAGACAGGGAATCAATTTTGGTTACATTTCGTAGAATAATTAATAGTTACGCTGCAGATCAGAGGTTAAGCAAGTACGCTATGCACTGGAACTACAGAGATGAGGGAACGGTGAGTGAACGCTTAAAGAGCTGGAACACATGGGGGCTTACGCCGTTTTGGTAATTAAGTTTTTATCAAGCGTTTTTTTTTTGTAATTTTGATTTTGATTTGAGGTATTGCCGTATCATCTTGCCCTTCGGTATGCGGTTTTTGATCAGTTTAGCCACTGAACGGCAGTCGGTAAGAGATCCTTCGAACGGTTTTGCGGTAACGGTTCACTTACGCTCTCCTGTCTAATATTAATGAAGGTCAATATTTTTAAGACTTAAAACTTTGAGGTTGATTGCTGGTGCATACATGCTTTAGATAAACAAACATGCACACAAAGGATGTATACAACTTGAAATAAGCGTGACCGATCATAATTGCAATATCGGTATTTCGTCGATGTTCGACACCGTGATTTCGGTATTTGCTATTTTTTCTTACGGTATTGCGGTATTGCGCCCCCCTCCTTCCCCCACCTTAATGTCCCTCTCCTTCCAACACTTGTGTTTATAGGAAGCGAAGAAGTTTGCAGTGCCATTAATCTTTTATTTTTATGCAAAAGCTAGACTGCAAGATTGAAGTGGCTTCTCTTAAAATCTTAGCAGGCGTTTTAGCCATGACTCCGCTGGTGAGAGAAGGCAGCAGATATCTCTTTTGCAATGGTTTGTGACAAGTCAAATGTCTTGTGCCAGTTAATTCCGCGAAATAAACTTTTTCTGCATTTTTGTTATAATTATTATCAGTAAAAAAGCTACTCGTGTCCAGTTTAATCATTGAACTGAAAACATCCCTCCGTCGAATGTACTTTCTCCACACACATTTCGACCAAACTAGTTGTCTTACTTTGCCGAAATTAAATCGAGACCCCTTAGGCCCTTAAATCTAAATTGCTCAAACAGACCAAAAAATCCATCGACACTGCTAAAAAGAGAACTTAATTTTCAGCTTTCGAGATATATTTTTGAGAAACAAGCAAATATATAGCTCAGTAAGTACGCTACTGAATTTCACAGGGGTGTTCCACACGAGGTAGTCTGGAGCTGAGGAGCCTATCCGTGTCTGCTGTAGGAAATTACGATAGACGAAAGTTACGTTTGCCCACATGTACACTGATTTTGTGTCTTCGCCGAATCATATCTTTGTTAATTGTCACTCTCAAAGTTAGCGAATTTTATTGATTTTCCAGCGGTTTCGATTAATTTTCGCATACTGGTTTATTTCAAAAGTTGACAAAACCTTGTAAGGGTGGGCGGTGCATTGATGGATACGATTTTCGTGTGCCTTGAGGTGGTGTATGAAAGTGTTTAATGGCGATTTAACACAAACATTTTTATTATAAAAGTATAAATGCCATAGATCAAGGTATTTTAAGCTACATCGAAAACTTAAGTTGTGAACGGAAACCTTTCATGATCTGAAATAATGCTTGGATACTGAATGATCGTTCTCCACTGAATTTTTTCGCATCCTAAGTCCAAGAAGTGCCGGATTCATGTCGGAGGTTGTGTCATTCTCGATGTGGAACTGCTGTGGAACCCGCTTCAATTTCTCGTTTGTCTTCTTTCACTTATTTCCCAAAAGAGAAGTCCACTTATATTCAAACTGAAATTTAACGACACTAAAGTTAAATTGTTTTTATAGCTCAGTGATGAGTCGTTCAGGTTTGCATTTGTAAATGCTCTAAGTTTTGTACATTTGAACCAATAAGAAACCTTTCATGATCTGATGAAGTCACTCAGTTCCAAGGCAGGTCACGCTCAGTTGACTTGTACATTGTATCTGGACTTAGGGCCTCTTTACGTGGAGGTGGGGAACCCCAGGTAGGTGAGGTAACCCGCCTGTCCACATAATCTCTCATATTAATTTGATCACGTTGACATGATAGGTGGGGTGACCCGCCGCATGTTACCTCACCTATCTGGGGTCCCCCACCTCCATGTAAACAGGCCCTTAAGCAGCTGACTTAAGTTAATTTCCATTCTCTTCAGCCCTTCAGTGAACAGTATTTTACAATGTAAAACTACATATTTACTCCAAAAAGAACCCGTTGTTGGTTCTCAGAATCGTACAAGTCTGAACCATGCATGTCAGGCAACTAATATAATTTATATAATATCGCCATGCATGCCGTGTATATGTACGGTGTCGACTGACT